GTGTTTGGAGCTGGACACACTTCTTGGTCCCATAAAAATGTAGGTCCAGTCATCCAGTTAGTAGATCTCAACTCTGAAATGAGTAAACCTCTAGAGGCATGGTCAGCAGGATTTTGAGATGTGTTGACATGATACCACTGGCTTGTATTTGTAATTACCTTGATCAATTGAACACGATTAGCGACAAACACGTGAAACCTTCTTGCTTCATTGTTGAGATATGCAAGAACAACTTGTGAATCAGACCAAAAGAACTCTTGATCGATCATCATTTGCAGTTCAGCTTTTAGCAAAACACTCAGTCTAGCAGAAACCACCGCAGCAGCCAATTCCAGTCTTGGAATACTCTTGATTTTTATAGGTGCCACTCGAGCCTTGGCCATTACTAGGCAACAATGCACTTCATTTTTGTCACTCTTGACTCTTAAGTAGGAACATGCACCATAACCAAGGTTGCTTGCATCTGAGAAATGATGCAACTCTGTCAACACAATCTTACTAAAGGACGAAGGATAGTAACATCTTGGAACAGTAAAATCTTTCAAGTCCTGGAGACTATTTTTCCACTCCTCCCACCGTGGAATTAAGTAATCAGGGAGAGAATCGTCCCATTCCATATTTCTCTGACAGAGCTCCTGCAAAATGTACTTTCCCTTCAAAAGGAAAGGAGCAACAAATCCAATGGGATCGTATAAGGAAGATACAATTGACAAGATACCTCGACGTGTTGCAGGCTGATCTTTAAGTTGAGTGTTGAAACTGAATGTGTCATCCTTTGTAGACCACTGTATGCCAAGAACATGCCCAGATGATTCAGGAGTCAAATTTAGTGGCTTAGAAGAAACCGCCCACTCTGACGAATCCACACAGCGCAAGACATCTTTCTCATTTGAGTTAAACTTATGGAGACGTAACCCTCCAAGCTTGCACAGGGTTTTAGCTTCTGCAATCAAATCTTTAGCTTCCTGTATAGATGGAACTGAAATTAAGCCATCATCCACATAAAAGTTATTATTCACAAATGAAGAGGCTTCAGAATACTCAGATTTGTACTTCTCTGCGAGATACTTCAGGCCAAAGTTCGCACACCCAGGAGATGAAGCTGCACCAAAAAGATGCACAGTCATTCTATATTCAATGGGCTCTTCTTTTAAATCCCCATTCTTCCCCCATAGGAATCTTAAATAATCTCTCTCTTCAGGGGGGACATGAAATTGATGAAACATCTTTTCAATGTCACATGTCACAGCAACGGCTTCCTTCCTGAATCTACAAAGTACTCCCACCAGAGAATTAATCAAATCTGGACCAGTAAGAAGAGTATCGTTAAGAGATATGCCACAGAATTTTGATGAGCAATCAAATACTACTCTTAACTTGTCTGGCTTGTGAGGGTGGTAAACTCCATGATGTGGTATATACCAAGCTGTTTCTTTATCAGGTAATACTGGAGCAATCTCTGCATCTCCCTTGTTGAGCATTTCTTCCATAAAAATCTTGTAATTCTCATGGTACTGTTGATTTGACCTTAACTTCTTACCTAAATGCTGCAGACGTAATAAAGCCAGCCTCTTGTTGTTAGGGAGTGAAGGTGGATTACTGCTCTTGAAAGGAAGAGGTAACTGAAAATGTCCATCTTCTTTATGCTTGATGTTATCACTGAGATAACGAATAAAGCGGACATCTTCCTGTGACACATATTTGTCTTCATAACTTTTCTCATTAAAGTCACACTCCAAAACTTTCAAGACATCATTAGCTGTTGGAACTCTCATTTCTTTCACAGACACTCGATGAACAAAATTTTACTTCCTTGTCTGTCTAAGTGGGGATTACAAAGACCGATAATGCTCCAGCCCAGCGCGGTTTTCTGTGCAAAAGGCTCATTTTCCTTACCGATTATGACCTCTAGGGGAGCCAACGCTGAAGGGCAGTCATATCCAATCAATAGTCCTATATCACAACTCTGAAGTGGTGGCATTTCATTGGCTATGTGCTTAAGATGAGACCAGCATAATGCAGTTTTCTTCGTTGGAATGTGAGCTTTATCCACAGGAATGAAATCACACGTATACACTTGAGGTATTTGGATACATTTCCCACCTTGAAGTCCTCGGATTCGCAGACCACTAACCTTGTTACTTGAAGTAATCGTGTCTGTAGTTGTCATAGTACTGAGTTTCAGCTTCACCGCTTGACTGCTCACTTGCAGCTCATCAATAAAATCCTTCAAAATAAAGCTCGTGTCACTTTGTGTATCGAGTAAGGCATAGGTAAGGATCTCATTTTGTGGCTCTTCTACTGTGGAGATAAACACTGGAACAATACTAGAAGTAGCAGAGACATGTTGTGTTACTGCATAAGACATTGCCCTTTGGCCCTCTTGACTTGTATATGCTTCTGAAGTAATATCTGCTTGGGATACCTCTGAATGTTTGCGTTTATCTTCGTGCAGACAAGTTGGATGACGCAGTCCACATGTTCCACAAATATGCCGTTTCCTACAGTCCCTAAAAATATGCCCTCTTCTCAAGCATCCAAAACACATGCGATTTTCACGAATGAAAGATCTTTTATCATCCATGGGCTTCTCTGCAAAGATAGGACATTTGACAATACTATGCATTTCACTCTTACACACAGAACATGGTGATGTTACCTTGAATTCTGGTCTTGAATCTTTTACTTGAGCCTTAATATTGAAAGCTTTTGCTCTTTTCAGATACTTTTCATCTGGAACCTTTGAACTGGCTAGCAGTGGAGAAGTGAAAGGGTTGCAAGCTATCTTTGATTCCTTCTTCAAGAATTCAGCAAATTGCTTAAAACTTGGATAGTCTCCTGTCATATCCAACTCTTCAACAACAATTCTGTTCCATTTACGGACAATCCATTCTGGCAACTTCTTAAGCAACTTGTAATTTTCCTCACAATCATTCAAGATGGACAAACCTTTGACTTGTGGAATAGCTTCAACACAACCTTGCAAGAAATCACTGAACTCTCTCAAGGAAAATGGATCGTTTACTCCCACCTTGGGCCATCTCATGAGTCTCTCTCGAAAAGCACGCTGAATAATGAATGGGTTTCCATACCTCTCCTCCAAGACTCTCCAAGCACCCTGATATGTATCATCCGAGTTCTTATAAAAGAACCCTTCTACGGCCTTACGAGCTTCTCCTGCAAGATAGGTTTTTAAATAGAACATTTTCTCACTTGCTGGGATGGATTTACAATCAATGAGTGCTGTGAAGGACATTTTCCATTCAATAAACTTCAGAGGATCGCCATTAAAAGTGGTTGGTTCTGGAACAGGTAAACGACTTATACTTAAGGAGTTCACTAATGCTTGAGCTAAATTCTCAGTCTCTTTAGTTTTCCTTTCTTCTTGAAATGTTTGTGAAGGTAATGGATTTATCACAGGATTACGTTGAGGTTTGTTAGAAGCTTTTCTTCGTTCAGGATAAATGACATTTCCGGTCTCGTCGTCTTCCAAACTGCTCTCTTCAAGACAACTTTCTACATTGTTATAAGCTTTAACTCGAGCTGCAGCTATGTTGACATCTTTTTCTGCTTGTAACAATTGCAATTTTGCTTTTTCTTCTTCTAACTTGGAGCGCATTTCAATTTCTTTCTGTTTAATATCCGCTAACATTCTTGCTTCTTCCAGCTTCCAGTCATTCTCCAGTTTAACTAGTCGAGCTTGCTGATTGGAAATTTCTTGAATGGCCCTTTTCTGCTCTACTTTAGCCGCAAGTTCTGCCTCTGCATCAGCTCGTTTACTTGAAGCTTCAGAGGAAGTTTCTGAGACAGCTGACAAACTTTCTACAGTCTGTGACGATACTGAGATAATGGTCTCTGTATTGGTACAACCAAATATAGACTCATACTCCTCTTTGTTCAATATCTGCCTAACTCTCTCTTTAACTACTTCCCTTTTTTGAATGACATCAACAGTTTCTATTCGTTTGCTCACCAAATCACAAATTTCTGTACTCAATATGGAACAAACATCTACTCTTCTTACAATCTCTGGAGTAGCAGTTTGATTACGCAGTAATGGGGCATAATGTTGAGTGACAACATCCTGACTAGTTTGAATGTCTTTCAAAATTTGCTCAAGCTCTTCACATGTGCATAAGGCTTTTAATTTAAATCTAATTTCTTTAGCTGTCTGCTTCCAGGAAGTATAAGCTTTATTAAAGGCTTTCTCGTGCTTTTTTGTCTCTTGTTTTTGCATTTCTAAACCCTTTTCTGTGGGATTTCTTTTTCGAGAGCTTGATCTTGATCTAACCTGTTGCATTTCTGTTGTACTATTCAGATCTTTATCAAGAACTGACCTTTGACTTGCTTGTGCCGCCATTTGCTCCGCTGTGTCGTCCATTTTGTCTGTCTACAACTTAAATCAGCAACCTGCTTACATCAGACAAATTTAAACACCTAAAATATTATAGCAAAGGTAATAAGTCAAAATCACATGTGCAACAACAGTATAAACTCTTAAGACTTTAAGCACTTTAAAATTGCAAACATTTGTCTAATACATGCATCATGAATATAAGCCCAACATTACACAAACACCTTGAAGCATGAGCACTTAAATCATTAGTCACTCCTTATTCTCAAACTTCAATTACTGCATACAAATTCAACAAAGCATACAAATATAAATCCCTTTTTTTTCTTTAAAAGTTGCAATTATCCCAAAAGTAATAAATAGATAAATATTTTTCCTTTTCTTGTACCTCTGAGTCCACAACGTTTGTTTGCAGTCACCTTTCAGTCTTTCATGAAGAGTTTTCCCAGTTAACCGTGTAAAGTCGCCGTCCTAGTGTAGATTCAGTCTGTTGTAGATACCATGCAGTGCCACAGACGAGATGAAGGCTTGTAACATGACACTCATGTGATGAATCACCAACGGGATGCAAACGCCATGTGTAGCAGCGAGTTTTACTGTAGCAGCCCTTCAGCTTTCAAAGAATAGGCAGAGAGTTTTTGACGGGTGCATTTAAAAAGGTTTACTTGGATGCAATAAAGTTCATCACATAAATCATCGTCTCAGTTCTTTGTTGTATACAGAGAAGCATCAAAAGACCAAAGGCACCAAAAGCACCAAAGCACCGTAAAACTAGAGAAAACAAACAAACAACATAGAAAAATAAACAACAAACATTTACAAAACATCTAACATTTACCAAATAAATCAAACAATAAACAAAACATACCTCGCTCTGCTTGCCGAAGGGACACTAAAAGCTCAAGGCATTCTTCCGAGCTGTACCTGTTAGCTCGTGAACAAACGTGAATTGCTCTTACTCTGCTTTGTCTCACTTAAATCCTATTAGTCTAGAGTGCCCTCCTGTGGTGACTCCAAGTAGGGCAAGCAAAGCGAGTGCATTAAATCATGGGCAGTTACAAGGGCTGCAGCTTAAACATATCAGCATTGGTTGTTCATTGGTAGATTTCTTGCCTGCCACGCGGAAGACCGTAGTCCGATTCTCGTCCATTCCAAATCCTGTTTTGTGTTGCTACTCTTCCAGCTCTGGGTAACAGCTTTGCAGCAATCACACCCCACTGGGTCTTCCGTATAAGCATATCAGCATTGGTGGGCCAGTGGTAGAGTTCTCGCCTCCCACGCGGGAGACCTGGGTCTGGTTCCCAGCCAATGCAATTCTAGTTTCGTGTAGCTGCTCTTCCAGCTCTGGGTATCAGCCTTGCAGCAATCACACCCCACTAGGACAGCAGAATAAGCATATCAGTATTGGTGGTTCAGTGGTAGAATTCTCCCCTGCCACGCTGGAGACCCCCGTCTGATTCCCGGCCATTGCAATTCCTGTTTTGTGTTGCTATTCTTCCAGCTCTGGGTATCAGCATTGCAGAAATCACACCCCACTAGGGCTGCAGTATAAGCATATCAGCATTGGTGGTTCAGTGGTAGAATTCTCGCCTGCCACGCGGTAGACCTAAAGTCGATTCCTGGCTAATACAAGTGTGCGTTTGTGTGGCTCATTTTCAACCTCTGGTTGACGGCCTTTTAGCACTCACACAACACAAAGGCAAAAAACAACATCGGTCAGCATTGGTGGTTCAGTGGTAGAATTCTCGCCTGCCATGCGGGAGACCCGGGTCCCATTCCTGGCCAATGCAATTCCTGTTTAATGTTGCTACTCTTCCAGCTTATCAAGCAAGTTTTTACGCAGCGGATGCCCTTTCAGCCGCAACCCATGTCTGGAAAAAACACACACACACACACACACTAAAGACAATCTAGCCTATCCAATTCACCTGTACCACATGTCTTTGGACTGTGGTGGAAACTGGAGCACCCTGAGGAAACCCACGTGAATGAAGGGAGAACATGCAAACTCCACACAGAAACACCAACTGAACCAAGGCTTGAACCAGTGACCTTCTTGCTGTGAGGCGACAGCACTACCTACTGCGCCACTGCTTCACCCAGCATAAAAATGTACATACATAAATCACAATTTAAATGGACAAATAAATATATATGTTTAAATTGTGTTTTTAACCCCCTGGGGTCGAAGACAGCGTATACGCATTCTGACAAGTTTTTACCTCATTGAGCTGAAATGAACCTAAATTACACTTTCAGTTTTGATCGTAAAGATAAGATCAATACATCAATCGAATCTGTTAGGTGTCTACTTTTAAATGTGTACACTCACAACAAAAACAAATGTGTGTGCTTTTGCAAATCAAGGATAATAAACAGTGTAGGCATTCTGTCTTTTCTCTCTCCGTGAACTGTTTTTAGAAACGTGTCAGCAAAATGCGCTGAAACTCCGCGAAAACAATACACCCAGACACGAGACACATATCTTTATAAAGCTTGAAGTGTCTACTTTTAAACGCAGCTATGCATGTTGAAAACAAATATTGTTTGATAAAGTAATCAGTATGAAAGCAACGCTATGTCTAGCTTCTCAGTCTGAGCTCATTAGAGGTATTGCGACCACGCCCACGAAGCTTTGACATTACAAACAGCCTGCATGAGGAGCGCGCAACAGTAGACTGTGTCAGGAAAAACACGTCATTAAAATGAACTGAAACTCAGCAAATACTCGACAAAGAAACATGTGAGATGTTTCTAAAGAAAGCTTGATATGTCTACTTTTGCATTAACCAATATAAGTCGAAAACAAATAATCTTTCAAGTAATTCGTATAAAAGTAATGGCAGGTACTGATTCTCCTGTCGCCTCATTACAGCGAACGTGATCCCACCCGCAGTGTAGGCACATTTCATATGGAAATTAACTGAGGTGAGCCAGGTGATAATGTAAACGCTCCCCGAGACATGGCATCAAACGACAAGCTTTATTATAGTTACTTATTTTGTTTGAACGATGGCATGCTACACGGGTGAAGAAGCACAATATAAAAATAATATAAAAATAAACACAATATAAAAATAAAAATATATAAATAAACTTATTTTTTCTCAGATTCTTTCTTGAAACTCTTAGTCACATACCTGTCTGATGGCTCATTATGCAGGTCTTTGTCTTCTCTGGTGTTACTCACTGCATAGTAATGATAGTTCACGCCTTCTCGCATAAACTATTTTCACACAGAAAGTGACTTAGAAATTTTAATTCATAGAATTGGTTTTTTGTGAGTAAGTGAACAAGATGATTCTCACATCATTTTGAAGCAAAAACACTAGACTACCAGATCCAGTTCTCAAAAGTCTTGTGCACAAATGTTCTCTGTGTGTTTCACGGCCTTGTTTCAGGGATTTCAATATTTTAGTTTTTCACTAAACACGCATAAACGTTTCTTTCTCAAAAACACAAACACATACAAACATGCTGCTTAGGTATTATTGTAGCCCAACTTGTGCTGTTTACAGTGTTATCACACATTAGCCATTAAAATGTTTTTAAGATACTGAAAACAACACAAATGTCAGTGCATGTCAAAACTTCTCCAGAGCCCCAAAACACCCTCAGACCCCAGATGGTTAAAAGTCATTTAATTAGGCAATAAAACAATGCATTACAAAAACATTTTAAATGTATAAATAAATAGACACTTTTATTACTGTATTTTTATTTAATTCATGTTTTAAAGGCTGATTAATCAAACAGTAAAAAATTGTATTAATAAATCACAAAACACATTTTAAACAGCTTTTTAAATAAGCATTTGGCAAATGCTTTTCTCCCTATTTGCCGCTTGGTTTTCTTTTTCTTTTGCCACATGCTTTTCTCAAATTAAAAATAAATCAAGTTAAAAATGGCTTTGCTGTAATGAGCTATTGTTTTCCTCTGTTAGAAAAAAAAGACAGTTAACAGTTTTATCTAGATTAAATGATTGTGGTGATAAAGATTTTCTTGAAGATATAGAACAAAATGAACTTCGTATTTTGCCATCAGAGTTGGATGACTACTATACAGAGAAAGCTAAAGGAGCTTTACGATCTAGAGTGAAATGGATAGAGGAGGGGGAGAAAAATTCTTCATATATTTTTTTAAATTTAGTAAAGCAAAGGCAAGCTTCAAAAACTATTAATAAACGTAGCATAAATAACAATGTAAGTGAAGAGAAAACTTTGATTGATGATCACATCTATTCATATTATTATATAAGTCAAAATTTAATGAGAGTGGTTGTGACTTTTTCTTTTCCTTTTTAAAAGATAAAGTTCCTATTATAGATGACTGCTTCCGTGAAATGATGGAATCTGACATTGTTATCTCTGAACTTGATGTTGCTATTTCTAAAATGTCCAATGGAAAATCCAGGCATATACGGAATTACAGTTGAGTTTTATAAACATATTTGGCCAGAGATGAGATTTTTAGTGTTTGAAGCACTTAAGAAAAGTAAAGACAAAGCAGAACTATCGACTTCTATGAAGCAGATTTTAATAATTTTAGTTCCAGAGCCAAGCAAAGACAAATTATTTTTAAATAATTGGAGACCCATAACTCTTTTGTCCAATGATTTTAAATTGCTCTCTCATGTATTTGCCAATAGACTCAAAAAAAGGTATAGGCGAGATAATTAATGAAACACAATCAGCTTTTATTGTATTAAATTTATTTTTTATTGTATTATCTTTTATTTTTAATGTATTAAAGGGAGAATTATTCAGAATGATACTTGATATGCTCGATTATTTAATTCCTCAGACAAGTTTATTTCTATTTCTAGACTTTTTCAAGGCATTTGATACCCTTGAGCATCCTTTTTTGTCTTTAGAAAGTCTTTAGAAACTTTTGGGTTTGGTCCGAGCTTTTGTAGGGTAATTTCCATGTTCTATACTGATATATTCAGTAGTAAATCCCTGAATTCAGGATCATCTCCTAGAGTTTACATCAAAAGATTAATCCATCAAGGATGTCCCATCTCACCTTTACTTTTTAATATAGCTGTTGAACTTATGTCATTATATTAAATCAGAGTACACTTTAGGTATTAATATACTTGGTAGGACTTTTACTTTAAGTCAGTTTGCTGATGACACTCTATTAATTCTTAAAAATAGGGAGGTGCTCCTTTTAGCTCTTGTCAAAGTTTCTGTTTCCTAAAGCTTCTGAACTCACCTTAAACCTAAGAAAATGTGGAATATTAACTATTCAGAATTGTACTTTAAGAGAGTTAGAAGGTATTCTAGTAAAAGAAGAAGTTAAATACTTGGGAGTTACCATCACCAAAAATTCTGTTAATAGAGAATGTGCAAATTTTAATACTAAAATGGAAGGGATGAAAAAATCCCTAAATCATTGGCTAGCTAGAGACCTTTCCATATTGGGTGAAATTCTTTTGACTAAGACTGAGGGATTATCTAAAATTATATATTTAACTTATCCTTTATATACTCCTCCCAAAATAGTTAAATCTATTAATTTAACATTTTTTACATTTATTTGTAAAAATAAATCACATTATTTACGTAAGAATCATATGATCAAAGAGTAAGAATATGGAGGTTTGAAAGCTATTAATTTTGAATGTCTTCATTGCACTTTTAGAGTTAAATGGTTGAAACAGTGTTTAAGCCTTATTCAATATGGTATCATATCCCAAATAATTTGTTTAAAAAAATGGTGGCCTTGAATTTGTATTAAGATATGATTATGATTGTTCAAAACTTCCTTTGATGCTGTCTAATTTTCAATAGCAAGAACTACTTTTTTGGAAAATTATATTTACCCATAATTTTCCCCTCATAAATCCACTCTTTGGAATAAAAGGGCTGTTATTATTAACAGAAAATCATTGTTTAAAAGTGACTGGTACAATAAAGGCATTATATTTATTAATGATTTGTTAGATGAAAATGGACTGCTACTATCTCATAACGAATTTTTTAAATAAATATAGAGTTAAAATCACAGATAAAGGTTATATTAAAA